CGCGTATCGTTTTCGTATGTGGAGGAAGAGCGTGCTTTTCGTACACAGCCTGCTTGTCCAATAGACTATGACCGGCTCGCTCTACTTGCATAATCGCATCTGCCATTGCTGTTGGTATACTGAATGCGCAAGGCTGAAATACAGGTAGCGCAAGACCTTGGGATAGTGTGGAAGTAAAGTTGCAGCTTTATCGCAAGAATGCGTTTCGATAATAGATGAGAGTGAGAATAGTATAATGGCCGTTGATGATTTTCAGAGGTCGAGGATAGAGTGGTAATGTCTTTTGAGAAGAGGTTTAGCAGAGAAGGCTGAGCAACGCTAGTGAACGCGGCTGCCTGTGTGTATACTCGACCCCGCGATGTTGTATAAATAGAACCGTGTGGCTGGCCCAGACGTTCTTTACGTTGGAATCTAGTGACTTTTGGCTGCTCCCGAAGCGAAGACCATTGGGCCAGGAAAAAGCCTCCTATTCCCTTCTAGCTGCGGTTCAATATCGAAACCGGGAGCCTCAAGCGCGGCGGAGCGTACACCTGTAGTGCTCTAGCCTCTCAGCAAGCCACACCATCGAATTTCTACATCTTGATCTAACGAGCCTTCCTCTTAATCATCAAACATTGGGCTTGCAGTGCAAGCTCTTATTCTGACCTCAGCGCACGGGTGCGAACGTGAGAGGGAGCTGACATCAAGCCTCACTAGAAGTCTTTCTGGTACTAACATCTGATAGGATTTCGAGATCCGGGTCGTCGTTATCCCAAGTTACGTTGCCGCGGCATGAAAAGTATGGATGATGTCCAGCGAAAGCTGGGTCATGCCTAGGAGTCGCAGCAGCGTGTGGTGCCGCTGACCTAACTGGAATTACGAAGACAAGTCCTACCTTTCTGCGAGCGGCGAAAGATTGGCACCAATTTTGATGTTTCCTTGAGCAGCCTTGCAAACGTGGCGTGCAGTCGCGACGCGCACCCGTTCCCTACCTGCGTAGATCTTCGGGGAGACAGGCGGGCGTGTCAGCGTGAAGGTCTGATTGCCTGACACAAAGCCCTATGTATACTATGTTATTGCGAGATTGGAGCTGACAGAAGTGAGAGCAGAACAAGATCGTGAGAAGAGGTTCTTTAAGACGTCAAAGTCGGGCCCTTAATGTATTAATGTAATTCTAGTTTTATTTGCTAAGGCGCTAGTCTAGAAGTAGATTTTTCCTTTTATAACGCTACCTACCTATATAAATAGTAAATATTATAAAGCTATAAAATTAACTTATAATACTCTCTTTTTACTTTTACTTCTACTAGAATTACTTACTATAGTAATTAATTAATATATTTACTAACGCTATCTACTACTTAAGTTCTCTTACTTATTTAAAAAAGATTTTCTTAATAAGTGTAAGCTATAGCTACGCTAAAAATAGCTTTTAAAGTAGCGCCTTTAGCTCTATAAGCTTATTAGTATAAAACTTAGAGAAGCTAAGAACTAAAATATTAGTAACTTTACGCTATTACTTAAGTAAATTATATACTATTATTAAGCTACTTAAATATAAACTAAGCTACTTTTACTCTAAGCTTATAAAGTATTTACTAGCTCTTTTATATATACGTAGCTACTACTAATAGCTTTTTAGTAAATAAAGCTTTATAGTAGATTATATTAAGTTTAAGATCTAAAGTAAAAACTAAAAAAGTAAAATAAGCTACTTAGTTATTAGTAAGAATAAGAAAATAGTATTTAAAAGAATTCTAGAGGTTTAGAGTATTTATAATTATAATAAAAAGATAAAAATAGTAGTAAACGTGCTCTTATAAATATGTTATTAAGCTTTAACTCTAGTTTTATAGTATAAGCTATCTCTACCTTATAAGCTATTATAATAACTTATTACATATTTATTATAGAGTTATTTTTAGCTACTATAAGTATATATAAAAATAACTACTTTAGATAAATAGCTTAGTAAACTACTATTACTAAATATCTTTTCTTCTAATGTATACAACTAAAGTACGCAGAAAGACCTCTTAGGCTTAAGCGCGAAAGACAGAGAAGACGTCAAAGTCGGGTCCGTGGAAAGGTCTTGGTTGGGAACAGCCGATGGCGGCCGGCCGGTGCACAACAAGGACCGCCGCTAAAGTTCTCGCCGAATGACTACATCAGGTCCGACAACATTATGCATCACTTAAGCGACTGGAAAGTACACTGCTTACCCAACTTACCAGCTGTGAGCGCAATGCCTTTATTGCCAGGGCGTTATCTTTCTTATCTCGAGGATTTGATTTTAGTGGGTCAAGACGCAAGATCCGACGGAAGCAGAGTTCCGGAGCGCAAAATGTGCCGACAGGCAGCACCAGCCGTTGCACTGATGCAACAATGCGAGAGCAGTATTTGCGTACCCTTCAATGTCGTGTAACGGAGAAAGTTCCAAGGACCACCTGGGTAGCACTCGGTCGAACTGACGAAGCGCGAAAGCCAACGCGGTGCGATGACCGTCTTAAATATTGCTTCGCGGATCAAAAGAGAGACCTAGGCGTCAGAACTTAACGGCCACAGGCTCAGCAAAGTTAGGTATCGATGATTGCGAAGAAGAGGGCATAAAAGAAGATGTCCATTCAAGAAGTCGAAGCATATCCAGAGTAGACGGCAAGTCTTGACGCGGAAGGATCACAATCCCTTAGCCACTAGTACACTTGCGCAAGAGAGCCCTGGAGCGATCCGATGAGACTTCCGTCGGATCTTCCGTGTCGGCTACGTATCACGTATTGACGTTACACAGACAATCCTTCACTACGCGACTCTGCCAACTTCCAACTTTGGTCATGAACAGCAGGTCTTATCACCGCAGTCTGTAGTGACTCTGGAAAGACATTGGTGCCTAGTAGTTCCACATAGACGTCTACAGATAAGACGATTCCGAGTTTGCAAGGTTCACATCGGCTGAGTGGCTCGAGCCGTGCCGGAATGCTGCAAAGGATGAGCTGAACATGGCATTCCATACGGTATATTAGAAAGACACACTCCAATCTCATGATCCACATACTCATCTTTCAGCCTTCTTAACACTGCGTCCAGTTATCCAAACTATACCCAGCCTCTTAGCGATCCATTCTCTTACAACACCGACGTGATCTCAGGAACCTTGCAACCATGGGCTCAACAGAAGCCGGCTGGAGACCTCTAAGCGTAGGCATAATCGGCGGAGGAATCGGCGGCCTCTCATCAGCCATCGCACTCCGCCGCGCCGGCCACACAGTCACAATCTACGAGCGCAACGACTTCGCCGGCGAAGCAGGCGCATCCGTCTCCTGCGCCGCCAACGGCACCCGGTGGCTCCACGAATGGGGTGTCGATGTCGAGAAAGGCGATCCTGTTGTTTTGAAGAAGCTCATAAACCGGGACTGGACGACAGGAGAGCCGGTTAGCGTTTACGATCTCGATGACTACGAGGAGCGGTGGGGATATGTGTATAATATGTTTCATCGGCAGTATATGCATAAGATGCTTATGGAGTGTGCGTTGCAAGAGGAGGGGGAGGGGACGCCGGTGAAGTTGTTGGTGAACCATCCGGTAAGATCTGTGGCCTCTCTAAGCATAAGATGTACTAACGAGTATGTATAGTGCCAAAGTATAGACCTCGCAACCAACCAAATCACCTTCTCCAACAACACCACCTTCCACCACGACCTCATCATCGGCGCCGACGGCATCGGCTCCACCACCCGCAAGATAATCGGCCTGAATCCCGAAAAGCGGCCCGCAGAGTCCAGCTGCCTGCACGCCAACGTCCTCCGTAAAGACATCCAGCGCCTCGGCCTCGAGGACTACTCCCTCAACAGCGCCCTAGAGTACTGGGGCGGCCAAGAAGGCAAGTGGGACAAAATCGTCCTCTCGCCTTGTAACGGCGGCGAACTCCTCTCCTACTACTGCTTCTTCCCCCGCGAGAAAGGCGACTATGCGAATCAGACGTGGGGAGGCGCCGATTTGCCTGTCGAGGAACTGCTTGCGCCGTATCCTGAGCTGGATGAGAAGGTCAAGGCTCATCTTGCTATTGGGATTGAGGTGAGGCCGTGGCGGCTGTGGGTTCATCAGCCTTATCCGTATGTTGTTAAGGGGTGTATTGCTTTGATTGGGGATGCTGCTCATCCGGTAAGCAAACTACCGTCCCTAGACGATGCCATCTTTGGGGATTGAAACTGACTTGCATGTCTCAGATGATGCCCCACCAAAGTCAAGGCGCCTGCATGGCAATCGAAGACGCAGCTGCCCTAGGCATCCTCTTCAACAAAGAATATTTCAGAGGCGATGTGCAAGAATCACTCGCCGTCTACGAGAAAGTGCGACTGCCTCGCGCGACAAAAGTCCAGGCTTCTGCTGCGAAAGCGGCGTCCAACATCAACGAACGTATTGGTATGTATCTCAGCATAATCATCCCATTTTCGAAGAACGAGTACTAACGGAAAGCATTTGTAGGCTTCTCAAGCAATACATCAATGGCGAACTACAAGGTAGAAGAAGAAGCGAAGAAGTTGACGATCGAGGAGATGAACGCATACGATATGTACAAGGATATTGACCAGGCGTTTGCGGAGATGGAGGGTGTGCCGTACACGGACAGATATGTCAGGGGTTTGCCGTTTGGGCTGCGGTTGTCGAATGGGGTTCAGATTGCTGGTAATGCGCGACTGTAGTGTTGGGAGATATACTTAATTGTATTATAAATGTACACACATGCATCGCTTTGATCCCCGTATGCGCGCCGTGTTGGAGGTAGGAAGGATTGCGACGTTGTCGCAAAGGCGCTGGAGATGGAAGCAAGCTCATTAGATCACACGGAAGTGGAAAGCATGCGCGAGAATATAATTGCGTTTCGATTTTCTTCATCAGTTACTTTTGAGCATGCCATCTTATTCATCATCATCCTTCCTTGGCCGCGGTGGCTTTTGTCCGTATACCAGCGACCTAAGCGTTCATCAGTATTGTAAAAAACCATCGGTCGAGAAACAAGTAACTTACACTTCCTGATACGCATGAATCCCCCTCGTCCTCAACGCCGTCCTCATATGCGCAAGATAAACCTCGACCTCCTGCTTCGTCCACCCCATAATCGTGGTAAGCAGATACAAACTCCACCCTTCAATACCCTGCTCCCAATTAATCCTGTTGTACTGCCCCAGCTCCTTGAACCGCTTATCCGCCGGCCAGCCCCCAACCGGCAACTTCCAGCGATGCTCAACGACGTTTATAAAGCCTGCTGCTTTAATGCCCGCGCGCTGTTCGTCGGCGGTGCGCAGCGACTTTCCGAAGCGGTCGCCGAGTTCGAGGGAGAGCTTGCCCCAGCGGTCGTAGATGGAGCCGGGGGTTACGGTGCCGTCGTCGGATTTGGGGACGACGGAGAATTCGAGTTGTTCGATGTAGCCGCCGGGTTGGAGGTGGCTTGGGAAAGGGTTAGTATGGGTGCTGGTTTCTGAGGTGTGGGGTGTGGATAGACGTACTCATAGCACTCTTGGTAGAAGGCTGGCCAGTCGGCTACGCAGCCGAAGAGGGATCGGATGTGGATGAAGTCGAAGTGGTCTTTCTTGTACAGCCACGGCTCGGTGAAGTCGTCGATTTCGAAGCGGACGTTCGGCGGGACCATGGAGGGTTGGGTGGGACTGAGGTCCGTTCCGAGTACCTGAAGTTTTTAGAATGGTGTCGCGGACTTTTCGTCGCATATCTGTACGAACCTCGGCCGATGGGTATCTATCCGCAAAGTCGCTGTTGGGTTCCCGTCAGTTTGTCGGTCGACATGCGAGAACGTGAGACTGACATAGCCCAGATTCCTGACTGGTCAGCTTATGCGTTCGTCGATCAGGGTGTTCCTTGCATACCGGTGCCAGTCCCCAGATCCAAGACGTGCTAGAGTACCCGATTGTCAGCCCGAAGCCAACAGCCATGGTGTCTTGTCTGGCTCCGAACGTACCATGGGCTGTTTCGATATGGGTGCTAGGAACAGCTCGCCATCGAGTAAGAGGAGGCAGATGTGGTGACTACCCAATCCAGTCAACACACGTCCTTCACCAAATGGGTCGCAGGCCATACACAATATCGAGCTGGTCTGCCGATGTCTCATCATTCGGCCCCCCTGTGCTCACTTAGGAACAGCATTGGCATGGAACGAGCGGGCAGCCCACAGTATGATCCTTCCTTGTATGCATGGTATCGCCGGCCGTTGCGGTACTTGTAGTTGTATACGGCCGATTTCAGGGACGTGGTCTCGCTTCGGTCCGTGTCAGAAGGCGGCTGGTTGGCGGGTGGTTCGTCATCCTGGGAAACTTACGATGCCGAATCGTCGCCAAATGCCGAGTCGGTTTCGTCCGAGTCCTGGACGCTGGTGTTAGCAACGCGACGATCGTTCGCATGGGGACACGGCTTACATGAGCGATCTGGGCTCCAATGTCGGCCATGTTTTATGAGGCGCAAGATGGATGATTGTCGTCGCAGCGAGGGGTTTGCAGGTATCGGAACAGTGCGAACGAGAGGGTCGCCCTGCCACCACTTAGCGTGACCTTTTGTACCGATTGCAACGTTCAGGCCAGCAGCTCGAACTACTGCCTTTCGCTCCCGACAGCCGTGTGACCGCGGCTCTACGCCGGCGACATGCACGCATGCAGACAGTCGACCGGCCAGACACCAGCGCTATCAGCCAGGTGCTCCGGTTGGCCGCGGTCGTCCGCAATATGGAGAGTTGTCCTTAATGAAGTGGGGATGGCGGATGCCGTCGTCGACTCGTCTGCGAGAACTGCGCGCGACCATTGAGGTCAACTTCATCCTCCTACTATCCTCACAGCGCCCGGCGAACTGTCCCACCAATCAATGCCGATCGTCGAGTCCCTACCCAGCGCAGCGGTACTGCTGTCCGCGGGACTGACAGCCCTGCTGGCCTACGTGCTGTACGCAGTGACCTACAACATCTGCTTCCATCCGCTGGCCAAGTTTCCGGGACCGCCTCTCGCCGGCGCTACGACATACTGGAAAGCGTATATTGAGTGCATCGCAAACCGGTCCTTTTGCCACTTCCTGGTCGAGCTGCATGCGCAATACGGTACGAGGGACCTGGCACGCAGTACACAAATGTGCAACGCTGACCCGTGTGGTGCGCGACGATAGGCGACGTTGTTCGTATTGGACCCAACGAGGTGTGTGAAGCATCGCGAGAATGCAGTGAACCCCACTCTTGTGCCACCACGTGTCGCTAACCATCATGGCCTAGCTCCACTTTGCCAACCCCCAAGCCTACCACGACATCTACAACAACAAGAATCGCTGGGACAAGGAAGCGACGCTCTACCAGAGCTTTAACGAGGACAGATCTAGCTTCGGCTATCTCACGTATGCCGAGGCCAAGAACCGCAAGGATGTGCTCAATCGCTCCTTCTCGCCGGCTGCCATCGAGAGCTCCGAGGGTCTGTTGATTGAAAAGACCAAGGCTCTCTGTGCAGCCTTCGAGCGGCAGAGCAAGGCTTCCGCAAGTGTTGATCTGTTTTACGCATTCCGCTGCATGAGTATAGATGTCATTACGACCTTTTGCTTTGGCAAATCCATCCACGCGGTGGATGAGCCTGACTTCAAGGCGCCTATCGTCGTGGCTCTCGATGCGGCGACCCCTGTTGCTATGTACTTCAAGTATTCTGATTTGTTCAAGAACTTCATACTGAAATGTCCGCCTAATCTGTCCAAGAAGCTCAGCCCGTTGACAGCGGGCATGATCGATCTAAACCAGGTATGTCCTTTGCTCGCTGGGGCAGCGGCCTACTAACACGTCGTAGTTACTCTCGCAGCAGATCAACGAGCTCACTGACGATCCAGAGAAACTGAAACTTCTCCCTCACAACATGACCATCTACCATCGGCTAATGGACCCGGAAGCGCATCGCGACAAGCAGATTCCATCGGCTGAGAGCCTGTATGAAGAGGCCCAAGCGCTCATGTTTGGTGGCACAGACACCGTCGGCAATACCCTCATGGTCGGCGCTTTTCACCTGCTCAAGCATCCTGACAAGATGCAAAAGCTCAAGTCGGAACTATCCGCGGCATGGCCATCTCTCAGCGGAAACGAGCCCACGGTCCGAGATCTCGAAAGGGTACCGTATCTGACCGCGGTCATCAAGGAGTCCCTCAGGCTCTCATCGGGAGTTACCGCGGGCCTTTTGCGCATCGTTCCCGCAGCCGGTGCAACGATAGCGGGAGTAGAAGTGCCGCCGCAGGTATGTCTGCATTTTGCTCTAGGCTAAGACGCGTGCTGATTGCGTGCCAGACCATTGTATCGTGTGGGAGCACATTCGTCCACTTCAACGCCGATATCTTCCCAAAGCCAGAGGAGTTCGTTCCCGAGCGCTGGCTCGATGAATCTGCCGACTTGGACAAGTGGCTCGTCGCCTTCTCGCGCGGCCCACGTATGTGCCTGGGAATCAAGTGAGTCTGATCTTCGGTAACTTCAAGTGAGATCCGAAGCTAACGAGGTAACTTTTCGCAGCCTGGCTTGGGCGGAGTTGCGCCTCGGCTTCGGCCATGTCTTCCGCAAATTTGACCTGGAGCCCAAGGGGAAACTGTAAGTCAAGTGAAGTTTCTTGCTCGTATGCTGTACTAATGGCGATCAGGCCTGACCAGCTGGTGTGGCGTGATGTGTTCTTGCCCTTCTATCATGAAGACCATTTGCAGGCACATATGCGGCCTGTAAGTGCGTGATAAGTGTTGTGTCGGACATGGGAGCTGTTGGGGTGGTCGAGTCATTTCATAGATTGTGCGAAGACGACAAAGGGATCAGCCGACCGTTGATCGTGCTCTGGACTTGCACACGTGTAATTGAGCGCCGATCAGTCGGAGATATGGCACCTGGGCGCAGATCAATATAGTATGAGCTAGTGGGTGCCGAGGTGCAAAGGGGGACAGGGCTTCCTGAAAGAAGTTTGTCAAGCTGAAAAGGGCATTGTGACTTGAGCTGTGCCTCTACTCGGCGCATGTGATGTATTGCTGAGAGGCATCTTTCTGCAGGCGGTTCCAAAGTGGTGGAGGGTTGCATCAGACAGGGTGTTGTCGGATGTGACGAGGGCTCTGGGTGCACGACATTGCATTAGCTGCGGGTTCTATTGCGGCGTCAGCTACATGCGCGTTTGGTACAAGCGCGGAGCACTGTGGTTCGCCGCCTCGTCCAACCACAGCGCTGAGCTGGGGGGAGAAGTAAAGACCCCGCCCCGTTTGAGCAAGGAAGGAATTTAATAGACGCGCTGCAGTCTAGATGCAGTCTAGATTGGAACAAGAGCGAAAGTTAGCAATACAAAGTCGTATGTTAAGCTCCAGGTTGTTTACTGATATGACTTGAAGGGGATGTGGGGGAGCGGACAGCAGAACACGAAGGTAGCTGGCGATCATGGCGATCAGCAGCAGCGATGAGAGTTTGGAGAGCAGGAGCTAAGGGCGGCGGAAGTTTTGGAGCCGATGGAGTCAGAGTTGGAGCTTCCAAGGTTGTATGAGACGATAAGGTTGGCGGGTTGTGCCAATCGGAAGGGCAAACGGGGGCGCAGAAGGGCCGATGATTGGCGGGCAGGTGTCCAAGCATGTGCGGCGGAGCGAGACGAGATGAAGGGTGACAGGCGGGCCGCAGAGGCCGGGCAGCTAGCCAGGTCGTGGATGGTTGGGGTGGATGGTTGTGGGTGGACATGTGAGGGAGACATCTGAAAGGGCATGCGATCAGCCAAGGGGTTTGGATGCAGCGATTCAGGCGTCTCAGCGTCCCAGCAGTTGTGTGGAGAGTGGGATGCAGGCTAGCTGGTTAGCGACGCGGGCGCATCGTCTGGCGCAGGCGAGCTAGACCCCGTTGGCTGCCATGAACTCGACTTCTCCCCGCTGAAATACTGCATACCAGTACATGCCAGTACATACCTACGTACACACGACGTAGCATCACAACCGCCTACCGCCTTCCAGCAGCATCCAGAGCCCGCCCTTGCCTGCCCCCAGCGCCTTCAATCCCCCAATGTCCCCATTGCGCCTGGCCGCCAGCCGTCGCACACGCCTTGACCTGGGCCCGCCCTCGCTGTGAGCGCCTTTACCATGCCCGCCACGGGAGGCAGCAGGGCCGTCCACGCGCCGCCCTCGAAGCCGACAGACAAGGGCAAGATGGCACAGGCCGCCCAGCCGCCGCGCAGAGAGAGCAGCGCGGGCACCTCAGCCCAGCGGCCCGGCATCAAGACGCGCGCATACTCGGCTCCCAACGTGCCCAAGAGCGACACCGACGGCCAGAGCGAGCTCGACCGCACCGACGAGGCCAGCGAGGCGGATGAGATTGCCGACGATGCCTTCTTCCAGCGCTACCACTTCCCCCAGCCCACGACGCTCTCCACCCAGCACGAGGAGGGCGACAGCAGCGCCGAGTCGTCGTCCGACACCGAGGGGCCCCTCTCGCCCACCCACCACAAGGACCGCCAGGCCCTGGATGCGTCGGAGCCTTCGAGCGTGAG